AATAAATGCAATCTATATATATGCATTTATTTATTTATTAATATATGACTTATCTATGTAACATATATATATATAACATTCATCCATAAATAATAATAATATTAAATAATAATACTATCGCACTAAATAATAATAATAAAATACTAATAGCAAAGTTATGATAAAATAAATAATAATTTAATTATTTAGTAATACTGAAATAATAATAATAATAATAATAATATATAAAATAATATAATAATTTAATATAAAATAATATAATAATTTAATAATAATAAAATAATAATATTAACAATAATTTGATTATTTTCTTGTCTTGCTTTTAGGGGTGTTGCATTTACTGTCGAGGTCTTAGCTTTGAGAGACAACATCATGAGGGGCCCCTCTAGGGGCCCCCAGAGCTTATCATCACCTGCAGCAGCAGCAGCAGCAGCAGCAGCAGCAGCAGCAGCAGCAGCAGGGGCAGAGGACGCAGCAACAGCAGCAGCAACAGGAGAAGAAGGAGGAGCAGCAGATAAAGCAGCAGCAGCAGCAGCAGCACAAAATGTTTCTCTTCAAGACTCAGCGGCCTCTCATACTTTTCTCGCTAGCGGTCAGGTGGGGCTGAGGTGTATGTACACCTCAATGCACTGTATATACACCTAAGTTAAGGTCTATATATATATATATATTTATATTTATATTTATATTTATTTACATATTTAGTGTGTATGTATGCGTGTAAACAACAGTATGGTGTACGTACTTTGAATTGCGGTGTATATGCAGCTAATTGAGGTGTACATACATCTCTATACAGCTAATTGAGGTGTATATGCATCTCTATACAGCTAATTGAGGTGTATATGCATCTATATACAGCTAATTGAGGTGTATATACAGCTACATGAGGTGTTTATGCATGTTTATACAGCTAATTGAGGTGCCTATACACCTCAATTAGCTGCCCATACACCTCAATTAGCTGCCTATACACCTCAATTAGCTGCCTATACACTTCAATTCAGTGCATGCACGCGTCTTTGATTGCTTAGGTGATATCCGCAATGAAGGAGGCATGCAGATCGGCGATGCTGCAGCGGGGCCTCTGCAGAATATACGAAGCCATGCTGCGATTCAGTAAACCCTAAACCCTAAACCCTAAACCCTATAGTCCTCATAAACCCTATAAACCCTATAAACCCTATAAACCCTATAAACCCTAAACCATAGACTCTAAGGTGCAGAGAATGTAAATGCAGTGCTTCAACTCTGTCTCTCTCTCTCTCTCTCTCTCTCTCTCTCTCTCTCTCTATCTATATATAAATATATATAACAACAACAACAACAACAACAACAACAACAACAACAACAACAACAATAATAATAATAATAATAATAGATAATTGTTGTGTATGTGTGCATGCAGCACTAAGTTGCGAGAGTAAATGCATAGGAAAGGCTTACGGTGTGTTAGCGAAGCGCAGAGCGAAGATAAAGAGCGAAGCTATACCTGAAGGAGAGACGACAGAGTTTGTTATTGTCGGATATCTACCTGCAACTGAGGCTGTCGGCATCAGTGAAGATATCAGGTTAAACAACTTTTAAAACTAACAATTCTCAGCAATCTTTAATAATTAATCGTCAACAACAATTTATTATTAGCGGAACTGCATATACACTCGCTCCTACTGCTGCTTTTGCTGCTGCTGCTGCTTTTGCTGCTGCTGCTGCTTTTGCTGCTGCTGCTGCTGCTGCTGCTGTTTTTGCTGCCGGTCCTTTTGCTGCTGTTGCTTTTGCTGCCGGTCCTTTTGCTGCTGTTGCTGTTTTTGCTGCTGTTGCTTTTGCTGCTGCTGCCTTTGCTGCTGCTGCTTTTGTTGCTGCTGCTTTTGTTGCTGCTGCTTTTGCTTCTGCTGCTCTTGTTTCTGCTGCTGCGGCTTTTGCTGCTGCTGCTTTTGTTGCTGCTGCTGCTGTAGCAGCTCAACACTAAGCCCTAAAGTGTATATCTTTCTTCAGTTGAGTTATGTATTTGCTGCTGTCGCTCTGCTGTCTTTGCAACCCTTATTTATATGCATTAAGTTTATTATTCTTAATTTGTTTTTATTTAGTATTTATTATTTATTTATTATCATTGTATTTTAATGTATAAACGCCGCATGACTTGCATAATTACTTCCTTACTAAATTGAGTTAAATATATTTCTTTAAAAATTAATTACAATTAATATAATTATAATTAATTATAATTAAATATAATTAAATATAATTAAATATAATTAAATATAATTAAATATAATTAATTGTAATTAATATTATTTTATTTTATTTCAGATCGAAGGCGTCGGGTCATGCGTCCTTACAGATGCAGTTTTCTCACTGGGCAGTCATAGACGAAGAGCCCTTCCCAGAGGCATGCATGACGGAGCAGGTGACGAATAAATTAAAAGTTTATAATTATTATATTTAAATGCATTATTTATCATTTATAATAGTTATATTTACTCATATTTACTTCATATTTATTAGGTAGGATTCATTTAAAAAAAAACGGTGCGCTAGGGTTTAGGGTTTAGGGTTTAGGGTTTAGGGTTTGAGGTGTACGTACACCGCAGGAACTGGAAGATGAAGGCGAAGCTGCATTGGCTGCACTTGCCTCTCAAATTCATTCTCGCGCCATCATAAACTCGATTAGAAAAAGCAAAGTAAGCCCACCAACCCCAAGCCCTACATCCTAAACCCTAAACCCTAAACCCTAAACCCTAAACCCTAAAGGAAGGCGTCTTTCTGTTGTGCGTGCATCTTCTCTTTTAGGGTTTACCAACTGAGCAAAAGGTCGTGGGGGACCCTGAGAAGCAGCGAACACTGTCCCGCAACAAGTAGCCTAAACCCTAAACCCTAAACCCTAAGATAAACCCTAATAAAGCAGCAGAAAAAGGCTGCAGGGAGAAACTGCATGGAAGCTGAGGAAGCCGTAGTGCTGCTGCTGCTGCTGCTACATCAGCAGCAGCAGCAGCAGCAGCAGCAAACCAACTGTTTGCTGCGCTGCAACAGCAAGAGCCCTTTAAGGGGTTTCGTTTTTTAAAGATGTAAATACAGCTGGCGCTACAATAAAAAATAAATGAGTGAAGAAATAAAAAATAAACAAAAAATAAACAAACAATAGAAGCGCAACTAAACAAATAAAAAACAAATAAAGAAATATACAAACAAATAAACAAAATAAACAAATAATAAAAAACAAAGGCAAGCAAAAATAAATAAATAAATAAATAAAGCATAAAGATATACAAGCAAATAAACATACAAACAAATAAACATAAAAAAGCAAACAAATACGCAACGACAAACAAACAGAAGAAAACAAACACCAGCATAAACAAACAATTTAAACTAAAATTAAAATAAATATATAAATTATTAATTAATAACCAGCTGTACGTACACCTCAAAAGAAAAAAGTTTTTCTGCTGCCAGTCGGCAACCACGGTAAACCAAATAGCAGCAGCAACAGCAGCAGCAGTTGCTGCCCTTGCTTCTGCTGCTGCTGCTGCTGCTGCTGCTGCTGCAGCTGCGTGCTAAAGCTCTAGTGAAGCCCGCCCCCTGCAGTAGGCAGCAACAAAACACCTATATTGCTGCAGCTGGTGCTGGTGCTGCTGCAACTGGTGCTGCTGCAGCTGGTGCTGCCGCAGCTGTGCTGGAGGAGCAGCTGCTGCTACCGCAGCAGTTTCTGCTGCAGCTGTTTGTGCTGCTGCAGCTGTAGCTGCGGGATAATGTGCTGGATTATGTGTTGCTGCTGCCGGTGGCGTTGCTGCAGCAGCAGCAGCAGCAACAGCAGCAGCAGCAGCAGCAACAGCAGCAGCAGCTAGGGTGCGAATACTTTACAAGGCAAAATGAACCAACAGAGAGGGATCTGAATAAGAGCAGCAAATAATACAACAGGAGAAGAGCAGCGCGCCTTGAAGCCTGCTGCTGGATATATATATACACCCCTTACTTCTTGATTTGCTGTATCTGAGCGGTGCAGCAGCACAAACAACTCTGTTGCAGCGCAGCAGGAAAGGTAGAGGAAGCAGCATATAAACCCTACCAAGGGTCGGCCCCCTGCTGCTGCTGCTGCTGCTGCTGCAGGCGACAACTCCCCTGCTGCTGCTGCTTCAGATTGCTGCTGCATTTCTGCGTCAGCTATAACCTCATCTGGTGCTGCTCGATTGATATCGAAGAGCAGACGCAGCAGCAGCAGCAGCGCAATGTGCACATACTTGTATCCGCAGAAGCAAATTATATCAGCAGCAGCAGCAGCAGAAGGCGTTGAAATATATAAAAGAAGTTTGATGATGCCGACCTCAGCAGCAAGACAACAAAGACATAGAGACAGCTGAGAACCCAGTAACTCGGGTTCAAAGCTTCCTTGAGTACCCCTCTGTATGCTTGCAAGAAGAACGAAAGTAATTAGAGACATTAAAGGGATATACATATCTCTCTCAGGTGTATAGACAGCTGATGCACCGCTGCTTATATCTGAAGATGCTTTTCTCTGCTCTCTGCATGCACTGCCCCCCAGGAGACTTTTAAATGGGAACAGCAGCTGCAGCAGCCGCAGCAGCACATACCGCTGACTTACGCAGAAGTAAGGTCTTAAAGAAGCAAGAAATGAAGGGAAGCGCTGCTGCAGCAGAGACACCTGCTTCTCTGCCTGTACACTCCAATTGTCTGCTACTGAATGCAGCATCATCTGCACAACTTGCTGCTCAGCGCTCTTTGACCCCACACCAACTGCAGCAGGGTTTCCTTCACCTCCAGCAAAAGGAAAGCCCCAGACGCCGCTGCTCCCTCTTTGTGATGAAATATACTGATTAGAAGAAGAAGCAGAAGAAGAAGCAGACATTACCCCTTCAGCACTTCTTCCTTGCATCTCAAAACCTGGGGCCCCGCCAAAGCCAGAAGGGGCCCCACGGGGACCCAGGGGGCCCTCAGGCACATGCCCATACACTCCTGCTGCTCCTGCTGCTGCTCCTGCTGCTGCTCCTGCTGCTCCTGCTGCTGCTGACGGCCCCTGAGAGAAGGGTGCTGCTGTGCCTACAGGAGCCAAAGGCACAGGTGCACGACGAGGAGGATATGGGGGCCTCTCCTGGGGAGGCTGCCCCTGTACGGGTCTGTGAGGAAGTTGCATTCGTGTTGAGACGGAGGCTTCTTCTTTTTAACCTGGTGCTAATGGAGGAAAGAGCGACTAGGTGCTGGAATAGGGAAAGAAATGCATGCGCCCCTTAATAAGGAATGAAACAGGGAAATAAAAGATTATATCAATGCAAAACACACAAAAGATATGAGAGAAGATCCACAGACAAAGAGCAAAAGAAATGCAGCAGGCCGTCGTTCATGCCCAGGCCGTTGAGAAGAGGTAGAGAGGAAACAGACAGGAAAGGAAGCTGCATATATTTTGCATCCTTTAGAAAACTGAGAACAATTTACCTCCATTTCACTGAATTTCATTGATCTTGTCTCACAATTCTTCCTTTTCTTCTACTTAAGGCGGCAGCAGCGGAGAGCGACACAAAGCCCCAAAAACAAGGCGAGTCAGCCAGCCCCATTGAAGTAAATTGGAAACGGTGTTATATTGCAATCAGCAGAAAAGAAGTGAAAATAATGTTGCTTCTTTTTTCAACATCTGCTCTAATACCACCTCTGGAGGTGCCTATACACCCCACGCCTGCTCGCTATCTGCGTCATGCGATCTTCAGTTTTAAGCGGGAGATCTTTGTTTAAAAACCTTCGCATTTATCTTTAGGGAGTATTTAATGTTGAATGATTCAAAAGAAATTTGAAAAACTCCTGTGCGATGGCCGCTTTAGTAGTCGATAAGCTCTGGTCTGCAGCCTATCGCCGGCCAATCGTCTGAAGGAAAGTTGCGGTGTATCTGTTACCGCTTTAAAGCCTTTTTTTCTGCGTTTGTTTGTTTCAAACATATCAAATGCTGACGGATATGAGGCAAACAGGGCGGCTTCTGCGGGGGCCCCCTCGCCAGCGCCTAACGAACCAGCAGACAGAGGCATGGGTTTCTCAGATGCTGCAAGCTGCGAATGCGCAGAATGGAGAGGCATTTTCTGCATTAATTCGAGATTTAAACTCCTTTGTTTCAGACGAAGAGATAGAGAATATGCCGGAGGTATGAAAGAGGGCGAATAGCAGCAGCAGCAATAAAAGAAGCTTTCTTGATGAGACAGTTTAGCTAATATGCATCTTGCACTGAATTATGAGCAACAACCATCGATTTACTTCATTTCTTCGTCTTTTTCTCTACACACCTTTTCCCGTCTGTATTCCATTTGGTTTAAACTTCCGTTTCTCATCTGCTGTTTTCTGTTCGAAGCCCTGATATATATATATATATATATATATATAT